TAATTACCTACAAGGGATCGCCCATTCGATTGTCAGCTGATTTCTCAACAGAAACTATGCAAGCCAGATGGGAGTAGCACAAAATATTCAGTGATGAATAACAAGAACCTACAACCAATATTACTCTACTCAGCAAAGCTATCATTCAGAATTGAAAGTCAGATAAAGAGCTTCACAGATAAGAAAAAAGCTAAAGGAGTTCATCACCACCAAACCAGAATTATATAAAATGCTGAAAGGTATTCTTTAAGAAGAGGAAGAAGGAAAAAATAAAGATAACAACAAATACATAACTATCAACAAGTGAATCTAAAAATCAAGTGAATTAAAAATTTGAGGAACAGCCGAAGCCAGTTTGGCTCAGTGGTAGAGTGTCGGTCTGCGGACTGAAAGATCCCAGGTTCGATTCTGGCCAAGGGCATGTACCTTGGTTGCGGGTACATCCCCGGTGGGGGATGTGCAAGAGGCAGCTGGTCGATGTTTCTCTCTCATCGACGTTTCTAGCTCTCTATCTCTCTCCCTTCCTCTCTGTAAGAAATCAATAAAATATATTTTTAAAAAATTTTTGAGGAACAGAATAAACTGGTGAATAAATAGAATGAGGGGCATAGAATACGAGTGGATTGATAATTCTCAGGGGGAAAAGGATATGGGGGGTATGCGGAGAGATTGGACTAAAATCGTACACCTATGAATGAGGACAATGAGGGGAGGTAAGGACAAGGGTGGGCTGGGAACTGGGTGGAGGGGAGGTAAGGGGGAAAAGGAGAAATAATTGTAATAATCCGAACAATAAAAATGTATTACATTTAAAAATAAAAAATTAAAAAATAAATTAAAAAATGGAACTAAAGGGATCCTGTACTAGCACCTGATCACTGGAAACACTCACTGCCCCCATGCTTTGGCATGCTGCCTCCCTCCACTGAGGTCTGTGAGCCTTCCTGCCCCAGGCTGTGAGCTCCTTTGAGCACGCACCTGTCCCCTCCCCCCGCACTCCTGGCACACATTGGTCTAAATTTGGGGCTACAAAAGCAGGCCATGAAACATGATTCAATCAGCACCCTACAGGCCGGTAGGAAGTAAACCCAGGGCCCTGAGTCTAATCCGACAGAGGGATGAACAGGCCCAGAAAGCACAGTGGTCCACCTGGACCAAGCACTGCACTTTCATTTTTGTTTACCTGAATAGCAATGGCGAGTCAGTGTTCTCTAACAAAGATGAGGGCTCTAGGCCCAGCTGGACTCTTAGCTACCCCTCAGTCACCCCTGCCAGGAGAGAACCTTGTGAAGAGATAGGGCAAATATAGAGGCGGTTCATCTTAGCCCTGAGTGTTCCCCTGGTGATGCCAACATCCACCAGTCTCAGTGTTCAAAGGCAGGAGGGCAAAAGAAGATCCTGGTCCCCTAGGAGCAGAAAGAGGCCTGCAAACCTGACAGGAGCAGCATGACCGCTGAGCAGGGCTCTTCCCTCAAATCGCAGACCCAGGGAAAAGCAGCTCCCACCAGCGGGGCACTGGCTTTGTGTCTTGTGCCCGGACCAACTGGCCTCGGCTCAGAACCACGGGCTCTTCACCTGATGATGGCCCCCGGCTCCCACAGGGCAGGGCATCTGCCCATGGGTGAAGAGCCGTCAGCTACCCTGAGCACCCATCCCTCAAACCACACCATTGGCACAGTCTCAACTGCTGACCACCCTGGAGTCTGGTTCCAAACCTGGATTTTGTTCAGGCTCCCACATTCAGAGCAGATTCTCTGCTGCTCTGTGGCCTGGCTGGAGTTAAAGCCAGGAAGGCTGGTCAACAACCTTAATTGCTCTAACCTTTAGTTGAGATTTTGTTAGCTGAAGCAGCCTCCACCTTGTTTGTCCTGTGAAAGTTTCTGTTATTTCCTGCCTCAGGGCTCCATGTAAATTTCTGTTTATGTTGCCTAAGATGTTTCCCCAAAGCATCAATAAAAGGGGATGGCAGGGCCAGAGCAGGGAGTAGTTCTCCCACTAGAGTTGGACTACTGCCTGGCCCCCCATATCTCCAAGTTGAATTTCTTCAAGTCTCTTTTCATTTGTGTGCGCCCTTCTCCAGAAGCTGAATTGGAACTCTTTCCACGCGGGCCGTGAAAGAGATTCCTATAGCTCCCGCCTGCTCCCAGCTCCAAATCAGATTTACAACTAAATTGCAGAGCAATCAATCTGACCAAGTGAAGGCTACCTAAACCAAAACATTATAACCAAGGACTACATAGTGCTGGAAGTCCTAGCCACAACAATCAGACAAGAAGAAATAAAAAGCATCCAAATTGGAAAGCAGGAAGTAAACCGTCATTATTTGCAGAGGACATGATATTGTACATAGAAAACCCTAAAACTCCAACAAGAAACTGCTAGATCTAATAAATGAATGTGGCAAAGAAGAAAGAAAAAAAGGTTAATATTCAGAAATCAGTGACATTTTATTTAATTTTTTAAAAAATATATTTTATTGATTTTACACAGAGGAGAATTGAGAGGGATAGAGAATTAGGAACGTCGATGAGAAACATCAACCAGCATCGACCAGCTGCCTCTTGCACACACCCCACTGAGGATGTGCCCGCAACTAATGTACATGCTCTTGACCGGAATCGAACCCGGGACCTTTCAGTTCCCAGGCCAACGCTCTTCCATTGAGCCAAACCGGCTTCAGCCAGACATCAGTGACATTTTATAACTAGAGGCCTGGTGCATGAATTCGTGTACCGGTGGGGTTTAGCTGATCTGCCCCTGCTCAGGGTGGAGGTGCCGATCAGGGGTGGGATGGGGAGGAGGAAGTAGTGTCAATCTAACTCCAGGTTAAACTCCCAGTTGAACTCCTGGTAGAGGGGATAATTTGTATATTAGCCTTTTATTATATAGGATGAACTAATCAATTAATCTAACTTCACAACAACCCATGACTTGTGTGCTACTATAATCTTTATTTTGTAGATAAACTGCTGCACAAAGATGTTGAGAAACTAATCCAAGTGGGTACTTGAATTATCAGGGGATCACTTTGCAAATTACATAATTGTCTAACCACTATGTTGTACGCCTGAAACTAATATGAAGTGATATTGAATATCAACTGTAATAAAATTAAAAAATACTAATCCAAGGCCCCACAAAGTAAGTGACAGAGTTGGATCCTAACACAGCCTGGTGCCAGCGTTGGGGAAGAATCCTCAGGAGATTATGCCTAGCAGAGACCTAGAGGATAACGAAGAATTATATCTGGATAAAGCCTTGAGACAACAGCCCTATGTGAGGGAGAGAACAACATGTCCACAGACAGCCTGGTGTGAGTATATCAGACTCCCATTCCAGATGAATGGTTCTGGCGGTTGCAGGATGGACTGAATTGAGGGCAAGTGATTCTTTAGGAAACTTTGATCATTGGGAGATAATGGGGTCAGATCTAGAATGGCAGAAACAGGGAAGAAGAAGGCCTAAATCCGAGAAGATGAAAATCAGTGAGATTTGATTCATTTATGTACTCAGCAGATATGCGGGGAGCACTGGATGTATGTTCCCCACTAGGATAAAAAACTATGTGTACATGGACAGCACAGGTACAACCATCCTTGCTTTGTGACACTTACAGTTCAAGTTCAGGCCCAGAGTGGGGGACGGGGGGTTCAGGGTGTGTTGAAGATTCCATTAGGACAGGTGATGTTCCTCAAACCAAACAGTGACCAAGTACTGAGGAGTGGAATCACTTCGGTGGATCTTGAACAGCACTTACTGAAGTAAAACAGAACACATCAAGCTGCCTTGAATGCCATAAGAATAATTTCCAGAAACTTTGTTTCTGTTACAGATGTGCAAGTGAGCACTGGATCAATATATGCAATATACTTTTTACTGAGGGTGAAGTAAAAGTAGTTTTAAAAAATCTTAGAGAATCTTCAATGAACAGTAACCACACACCTATAACACTGTACTCCTTAAGGAGGCTAATTATGTCTTACTTGTTTTTTGTTATTGTTTCTCCTATAACGAGGATAGATCAAAGTAGATGGATAAATGGGTTGGCTAGATCGAAAAATGAAAAATGCATGGATGGGCGAGTGGATGGCAAATGGAAGGGTGAAGAATGGTAGGAGGGAAAGGGTGTGCAGAAGTCTGAGGTGCCCAGGGGTCGCGGGGCGGTGGAGATGAACACAGAAGTGAAGGTCGGGAGAAGTCAGCGCTGGGAAGCGGAGGCTCTGCAGACAGCCAGAAAGGGTGCGCTGATTTGAAAAGTTAAGGTGGAGGCATACAAATCCCAAAGACAGATACTTTGACCTTGCGGCCACTCCACGCCACGGCCAGCGCAGTCCCCCGCGGCTCCTCTGGCCCACAGCGCGAGCGCGGCCGCGGCGGAGCGGGAGCCTCGCCGCCGAGGCCTCCGGCGGAAGCGCCGCGGCCCCGGGCCTGAGCCGGTGGCGCACGCAGCGTGCTTCCTGTCCGTCCCGGTGCCGGCTCTCCCGAGCGGCCGCGGGACCCTGTGTCTGCGTGGTGAGGGCGCAGCTCACCCGCTCGACAGCTCCGCTGGCTCCTCGGCCTCTCGCGGTCGCCGAAAGCTGTGCCTCCCGCAGCCTCCAGGCTCGCGGCGGCGCGGCCCCGCGCACCATAGAGATGAGGTCCGCCGACGGCCCAGACGGCCCTCCGTATGGGTTAGAGCGCCCCCGTCACTTCCGGTCGCCGGCAGCCGTTGGGTGAGGAAAGCGGCGGCTGAGGCACCTGCCGATTGGGCGGACTCTGAGGGAGGGAAAAGCGTGCCCGGACCAGCGTTTGCTCGCTGAGCCTCGAAGGGGAGCGGGGCCCGCGGCCCGGTCAACCCCGCTGCCCGCGGAGCGCGGCCGTGAACCGGGGCCGGGGCCTTCGGGCCTCGAGCTGGGAAGAGCCTGAGAGGGAGCAAGGCTTCTCTGCGGCCTGAGGGGGAAGAGGAGGAGTCGGTCTCATCCCCGCTCCTCAACGCCAACACCTGCAGACAGCGCATGGAGATGGCCGGCCGGCCCACCACTCCCAACCCCGTGCAGACCCTGCAGGAGGAGGCGGTGTGCGCCATCTGCCTCGATTACTTCACGGACCCCGTGTCCATCGGCTGCGGGCACAACTTCTGCCGCGTGTGTGTGACCCAGCTGTGGGGCAAGGAAGACGAGGACAGGGAGGAAGAGGAAGGTGGATGGGAGGAGGAGGACGACGGGCAGGCCGAGGGGGCCATCGGTGGGTGGGACAACTCCATTCGAGAGGTTTTGTACCAGGAGAGTGCTGACGGGCTGTCCCGGGACCCGGAGGGCGAGCCCTGGGTCGGAGAGAGTGGCATGAGGACCTGGGGCAGCGCGGACTACGCGTGGGACCTAGAGGAGGAGGAAGATGGGGACTATTACCTGGGAGGCCTGGGAATTGACATCTACGAAGAAGAGGAGGTACTGGGAGGATACGATGAGGAAGAACTGTATCCTGACACCCGCGAGCCTCCTCCCCGGCCCCCTCCGGCCCCTCCGCGGCAGTTCACCTGCCCCCAATGCCGAAAGAGCTTCACAAGTCGCAGCTTTCGCCCCAACTTGCAGCTGGCCAACATGGTCCAGGTGATTCGCCATATGTGCCCCACTCCGTATTCAGGGAGCCTGGGGGACGACAAGGGTATCTGCTCCAAACACCAAAAAGCCCTGAAGCTCTTCTGTGAGGTGGACAACGAGGCCATCTGTGTGGTGTGCCGAGAATCCAGGAGCCACAAGCAGCACAGCGTGGTGCCATTGGAGGAGGTGGCGCAGGAGTACACGGTGAGAGGCTTAAATTAGGGAATATGGAAGTTTGGACAGGAGTTGGGAGGGATGGGTACTTGTTTAGTCTTTTTTTGTTTGGGGGGGGGGGCAGGTACAGAGGAGAAAGATGAACACATGTGAACAAAGGCTGAGGCTATCTTCCCCAGAGGAAGCTAAGCAAAAACATGACAGAAGCTGACCATTGTCATTCCCTTTCAGTCAACCTAGGTATAAGGGACAGAGGTAACAGATCCCTAGTACTTAATTTCTGTCTGATGTAAGTTCTGTTTATCCCTAAGATTACAGGACTCTTAACACATACGAATGGAAAGCTGTAGTACTTGAAGATAATAAGACTTCTAAGCACAAGCAGTATCAAAACATAACTGGACTACCAATTGGCCATGTCCTGGTCACTTTGCTTCCCTAGTATGATGTAGAGTGAAGGACTTAGGATAAGATGGCCTATCTCATCTTACGCAGGTTTCAACCTATTAGCATTACTTTTTCCCTAGGCTTGTTACAATTAAGAGATCACATGTGCCCTGGCCAGTGTGATTCAGTTGGTCGAGTGTCATCCTGTGCACAGAAAGGTCACCAGTTCAATTACCAGTCACAGCATATGCCAAGTTTGTGGGCTCAGTTCCCAGTCAGGGTGCATGCAGGAGGCAGGCAATTGATGTTTCTCTCTCCCCCCTCCTCTTATATATATATAAGGCACTGTTTACTTTTATATTTTACTTTCCTCTTTGTCTTCCCTTCTTTGGATTTTGACTTGGTTAATGCCTTGCTTTCTAGTTCTCATCTGAGTATTAGAAAGTTGACTCAATGACAAGTCGGACTGAAGGGTCCCAGGTTCGATTCCGGTCAAGGGCATGTACCTTGGTTGCGGGCACATCCCCTATCTTCCTTACCAAAACCTAGGAAGAAGAGGTTGTTTTCAGGCCCATAAAAGTCTTAATCTGGAGGATATTTAGTAGCAGCTGCTCACATCTCAGTAGTGCTTTACAATTTATAAAATGTATTTCCTCATGTTCTCCTACAGCAGTGATTTTCAAACTGTGGTTTTTTGCCAACTAATGGGTCTTAAAATAAATGAGTCATGCCCAGCATTATTTCAAAACTAAATAGAAAATATCAGAGTGCATGGAGGAAAGGAAGGGTATCTATAAAAGCCGTTTATTCAGGTCGCTATGACATGCACTGTCCACCAGGTGGCGACACTAAACACAGGAGCTGCCCCACCTGGCAGTCAGTATGTTCCCACAGCCAACCTCCCTCGATCCCTCCCCCACATTTCCCCTAATAGGGCCCCAATCCCCAGCCAGGCCAAGAGACCCCACCGGTGCATGAATTCGTGCACCAGGCTTCTACTTGTTTTATAAAACTTATATATACATATGTGTATACTTGGTCCAGAGTAAAAGGTATTGCTTACTCTGAGTTGCAGTCAAAACACAAGCAGAACATCATATATTAGACATTTTCACACACACTCATTTTACAGTAGCTATTGGTAAGTGCAGTTAAGATAAATCTTTACAGCCAAAACCGGTTTGGCTCAGTGGGTAGAGCGTCGATCTGCGGACTGAAGGGTCCCGGGTTCGATTCCGGTCAAGGGCATGTACCTTGGTTGCGGGCACATCCCCAGTAGGGGGTGTGCAAGAGGCAACTGGTCAATGTTTCTCTCTCACTGGCGTTTCTATCTCTCTATCCCTCTCTTCCTGTGAAAATTCAATAAAATATATTAATATTTTATTTTTAAAAAAGATAAATCTTTACAAATTACTGCTAATTCCATATTAAGATGACTTTAAGAAGAAACCCAAGCACCCACTTTCCACCAGGGTAATAATTAAATTTGCCTACAAACGGAACTATGTTCTATACATCTGGGTTTTAGTACACTGAAGCTGAGGAAAAGAGATAACCATATATTCCTCTGTTAGAACTTTTCTGGAAAGGATTTGAAACTGGAATTTTAATTAAAAGCCAGTTTAAACAAGAGAAAAGAGGTGGTCTCTTCAACTGGGAAGGTCAATAACATATATGAAACCTGAAAATTATTTATAAACAAATTCAACTAAAGAAATTGAGGATAATCCCTTTTGAAATATAGAATATTTAAAATAAAACATTTACTCTTTTTTTAAATGTTTTTAATGACTCTTAGAGATAGAGGAAGGACAAGGGATAGAAACATCAATGAGAGAAAAATCATCAATCAGCTGCCTCCTGCTGGGGATCAAGCCCACAACCCGGGTATATGCCCTGACTAGGAATGGAAACAGCAACTTCTTGATTCCGGGGTTGATGATCAACTTCTGAGCCACACTGGTCGGGCTTACTTTCAAATACACACCAGAACTTAGGTATAGATAGCACTGCCAAACATGGGAATTACAATGAAAAAGGTAAAAATCTTTTGTTTTATATAAGTTATATGTAAATTGATAGTAATTGACATATTGTTTCATTCTTTATACAGTTCATAGTTTTATAACTTGCTTTCAATGGTGAAGACACATGATTTAGAATTTTACTGAACAAAAGTCTTATAATAGTTAACATTGTATAAAGAACTTTTTGTACAGTGGCTTATTTAACGTACATTATCTCACAGTTCTGGTTACATGAATTCTCTCATCAGCTACTAATTCAATAGAAATTTTTTATCTACTTTGGAGTGGTCAGGCTTTTTAGTTTTAGGCGTTATGAATAGAGTTGTTACTTATCAATTCAGGAATAGGAGAGAAAGGCATTCTCCCCCTCCTTCCACAATTTATATCAGCATTGCAGGGTATGGGGAGTTATAGTGGGTAGAGCAAGCAGCATTCAGATGAGGCCTATATTACTTAATGAGGTATTTAACAGGCTAGTTAGCCACAGAGTTCATTTATACCAGTGGTCAGCAAATTCATTGTCAACAGAGCCAAATATCAACAGTACGATTGAAATTTCTTCTGAGCCGAAAACCAACTTCTGTGCATGGGCCACTAAGTTTCAATCGCACTGTACATGAGCGCCCACATGTGGTATTTTGTGGAAGAGCCACACTCAAGGAGCCAAAGAGCCGCATGTGGCTCGCCAGCCACAGTTTGCTGACCACTGATTTATACTACTGCATATCCAGGATAATTATATTGTTTTGATGTCAATGTTTTGTTTTCTTTTTCATTTCTATCCTATTGTTCAAAGTATTACAGATATCCCCCTACCCCCTTCCCTTAATCCCCCTCCTCCCCTGCATGTGCCCCCTCCACCCTCACCCCACTATTGTCTATGTCCATGAGTTATGCATATATGCATATAAGTGCTTTGGTTAATCTCCTCCCACCCCACCCTCCAAAGTCAATGTTCTTTTAAAGTTTAAGGTTTACTTTTGTATAAAAAGAGGCTTTTTAGCTCTGAAAACTTATTTACATCTTCCTTTTTGTCCATTCCATGAGTTAGAGTTCGTCTTGACTCTTCAAGCTAGAATCAGAGGATTATGAAAGATCATTTAGATTTGACCAAGGGCACCATTAAATGGTGTCAGGTTTTAAGCAGCAGATGGGTGTATAAAAAGATGAACAAAGAATTTCAGGGCTCAGGTATAGCTGGATGCCTGTATTGCCCTGCCACCCAGCTGCCATCATAAAGTCATTCATCGCTCTGCAAGAGGGACCAGATGCTTCCATCATCAGTACTCCTTGTTTATGTATTTTTCTTTGACATAGCTAAAGATGACAGCCAATTTTTTTTGAGGTTTTTATCAAGCATATATTCGCATTATGATGTAGAAGATAGGGTCAACTTCTCCAGTTGAGTAATTTGTGTGTTGGGCAGTGACACCATGCCAAACACTGTTAAATTTATGCCATTAAAAAGTGTTCTGCAAAGCACAATTCTCTGCAGCTTTAAGATTGGACTGTATTGGAATATTAACAGGAATCTTCAAAGGCCATGAAAACTTAATGTTAAATAGCCCTTTAATTGCAAAGGAGTAATTTGTGAAACCTTGTATTCCAAATACTGTCGGAAATTTAAGAAGAAATTGAGGAATCTCAGAATTTCTTCATTTACTTCTGCAGTTTTAACAACGAATTGATGACTGAGCATATCACTCTTCAGGTTTAAAAAAAACATCATCTCATCTTTCTTTGTTATTAGTTGAGATGAATCTACTGACAAAGGAAATTGTGCTTTGCTTATTATCACAGTTAGGCTTTAAAAACCATGGATGTGCTGTTTTCATAAACTCTGTACTTGACCAATGAAGACAATATTTTTGAAACTGTATCAAATACACTGAATTTGTTGAAAAATTATAGTATTTATTGATGGTACTACAGCAATGACATATTTTAGATCTGTCTGTTTCGTTTTGGGGGGCAAAAATTTAAGAAATTCAAGATGTTCTGCAAAAGTCAATGCCAACCATAGACTTCCATCTATCTGCCCACAATCTACTGGAAATCTTCAGCCTTGCTGTCGGTATCATTGTTTGAAAAACGTTACATTTGATCCCAGTTTGCCTTGGGTTTTGAAGATGTGAATGCTGTTCAGAGTGTTTTCTGTTATATACTGAAGTTCCTTGGTTGTTAAAGAACTGAATTCAGCTGAATTTATGGTCAGAACAACAGAATTTGGAACACCAATGACAGCCCTGATTTTAGAACACCAACAAGAACCTGTACTTTAAAAATTAAAACTTTCAGAATGTAACACATTGAAGTTTAAAATACAGTGACCCTGCAATGTCCAGGAGCAAACACCAGCACTGCTCATTATTAAATACTTTAAGCAAAATTTGCCAAAAATCCAGCTACAGATAGTAAATTCATGCTAACAATGTCTAATATTCTTGGTCAGTCTTTTGAGGACCAGATTCATGAATGTTATTTTAAGAAAAAAGTGAAATATACGTAACTATTTTGAGTTGATGTATTCTTTGGTAGCTTTTGGGAAGAATGTGTTTCACATTGACATTTAGCTTTCACTGGAAGAACTTCAGAAGGATTTTATGGAACTCAAAA